TGTTAAAAAAGAATAGAGGTGTGGTTCTTTCTAATCCTCTGCACAGATGCTATAGAAGGGTATATATACCTGATCTTTAGCATCCAAAGGGTCCCCCAGAGAATGTGTACATCCACAAACTTATCAAGTAAAACTGACTTGCTCATGTTTCTCCACCCCACCTCAGTATGTTCTTAATTTGTCAAAGTCTGTTTTTCAACTCTTACATTATTAGTTTATTTTGTGTGTATATTTGTTATTTGATAAGATTTTGCTCAGTGCTGGGTGGTGGTGGTGCATGCCGTTAATCCCAGCCCTTGGGAGGCAGAGTCAGGTGGATCTCTCAAGGTCAGTCTGCTCTACAGAACGAGATCCAGGACAGGCACCAAAAACTACACAGAGAAACCCTGTCTCGAAAAAAAAAAACAACAAACAAAGAAAAAAGATTTTGCTTAGTAAATTCTTCGAGTGTGCGTGTGCAAGGAAACTTTGAGTTGGTTTTCTCTATTGTGTGGCTTTGGGGGATTGAACAAGTTGTCAGGCTTAGCAACAAATACACTTTACTTACTGAGCCCTTTCACTGGCCTTGTCTTTTAACTAGTTCTAAAATCAGAAAATCAGAAGGGGAAGTGAAAAGGCAGAAGGTAGCAATTCACTTGCCTCATTGCAACCTGAGCTTTGCCCTTTCTGTATGCTACAATGTAGGAAGAGAGGTGTGAAGATGGGCTTGGAAAGGGGCACCTAAGGGAGGAGGGCAGAATGCTGGAAGGTTTCCTAGGGGGTAATAGCTTTGAAGTTGTGTTAAAATTATCCTTGATAGTACTTTTGAAAATCCATAAACACCAAAACTTGAGAGTCTCTTATATCTAAAACTCAAGAAATGCCTAAAAACATTTAGTTACCCTGGTAAAACACTGGTACATTAATTTTTTTAAACTAAGCTCAGCTATCTAGGTGTTAAGACTTAAAATGGTCAGGTACCTGGGACAGTTAACTGCAGGTTGCTATTTCATAAGGAATGTTGACAAGGTCTAACATTTAGCTAGCATAATGGTAACAAGAGAAGCAACAACTTGGCCCTAACATCTGTAGTATGAAAATCAAAGTGCCATAACAGGAGGAAAGGCAGAGGCAACAAGGAATATTTTAAGACACAGTCAAATACAAGTTTGATAAACTATACATACAGATTTAAAATCACTGTAAGCATGAGGAAAATTATACTAATTCACATAGCCCATTGCCCTAAATAGTGATGAGAAAAATCTGACATATAACTTTCAGGTAGCAGGAAATGATGCAGAATGCAAATATACAAGGGAGAGCAGAGTAAGAATGTGTATACACAAATATCACACAATTAAGTCAGCCTGAAATAACAGTTCTTAAAAGCTATCATATTGTTAATAATATTCAGACTATGCAAATATTGATCAAAGATGAGAAATGAGAAAACACCAATGTAAGTTTCTTATAGTATTCACAAAGGTTGTAGCCTGAAGGTAGACTGATCAAGATGTATACTGTAAGCTCTAAAACACCCATTAGATCAAACAGTTAAGTTAATACCACAACGAATTTAAAAGGCAATCACACAAACTATGGTCTAACCTCTCCCCCAACATGATATATTGAAGTCCTAATACCTATGAAGGGGAGCTTGTTTGGAAATAACATCTTTTCAGTTGTATTCAACTGAGGATGATGGTTTTAGAATGAGCTCTGATTTAGTATGCCTGATACCCTTATTGGATAAGGAGAGCATACACACATAGGAAGAAATGAGTATGTATTAAGGAACAAGAGATTAGGCCATTGCTTCTGAGAGACAAGGAATGCTGGGGATTACTTTAAAAAAAAATCAGAACCTATAAGAGACAAGGATTATCCCATACAGGTTTTAGATAAAGTATGGCCCAGATGATACTTTGACTTCTTAAAAAGGTGAATGTTACTTTGTTTAGACTCCAAAATTAACACAATGAATTTCTTATACTGTGTCACTTAGTGTGTGGTAATACATCAGCCTTAGGAAACTAATTCAATGCTCAATAGAAACAAAAGGAATATATAATGGGACTAACAAACTGAATAGCAAAGTGATAATTTTATCTATAATATAAATTCTGCATTGAAAAGACAGAATTTTGTATGGATTCTTTACAAAGACCTAACTCTATGCAATGTATAAGAATATTGGAAGTAGACTTTAAAGAGAAATGAGTTTTAAAAAAGAGGATGGAGACAAAAATAACAGTTTGTCAAAAGAAATGCTGAGCTATGTTAATAGCAAAATATGCTTTGAAGCAAATAATAAGTTAATAGTTGCTAAGAAGTTATGTAACCAGAAGACAAACCTGTACTTAAGAACAGCCCTTGATTACTGGAAGCAAAATCTAATGTAACTGAACTACAAAGGAAAAAAAATCTACAATTAAAGTTAATAGATCTTAAATACTTGTTTGAGTCATTCTTAGGATAACAGTAAAGCTGTAGAGTACTTAGTTACTTGGACATCATTAGTAACTACCTTAAGTGACAGAACACCTCACACAACAGTGATGTGTACATTTTTTTTTCATTTACATTTTGAGCACTTGCCAAAGCAGACCTTATTCTGAACCATAAAGCAAATCTCAGTAGGGCAATCAGGGTTGTTGATTTACTGCAGTGGAATAGTGCTTACCTATCATGCAAAAGGCCCTTAAAACGATTTGTGGGAAAAACTTGGTCTCCTTTAGAACCATCAAAAACTTGAAAAAGTAACCTTTCTGGAGCTCTAGAAGCAAAACTTGCCTTAAAATTATTTTATGATTTTACTTGGATTTGCACCAAAACTTCCCTATGAAAGACCTACATTTCTGAGGGCTACTTAAAGGAATATTTTCTATCTCAACTAAGCCAAAACATAGGGAGCAGAGTGTGATGTGGCTGGGGAAAGTAGCAGTGCTACTGTAGACTCAGAGAAACCTTGGAAAAGACAACAGAGGCTAATAACGAGTAGCTTTTTATATAGGACCATTGAGAAAGTCGTACATGGGCTTAGGAAAAAATGCATGCCCAGGAAGATATATAAGAAGACCCTAAGTTTCATTTAAACTGATTAGATTTCTCTAACCAACATGGGAATGATGACTATATTTTCAAATGCCTATTTGTAACAAAAACTAAGAGCACACAGAAATAGGAAAATACAGCAAACTGAAGAGTAGAATGTAAATTGGCAGATACCATCTCTGAAGAAGTGTAGATGGCTGGACTTAAGATTCTAAAGTGCCTTAGTTATGGTAAAAGAGCAAAAGGAAAACAATAGTGAAGGAAATGAAACATACATAAGGCAAATAAAAATATCACCAAAGTACAAAAAGGAACCAATCAAAACAATGGACCTGACAAAATGAACTCAACTTTAAATATTCATTATAGTGTTCAAGGAAAAATATGAGCTGGCAGAAGAAGTGAAGACATGACATTTGAATTAAGTATGAGGAACAGAACGAAGCAAGAGGTTAAAAAGTGTACAGGGTTTATAATTGTAACATACAATTAAAGGAACCAATATAGAATATCTAGAAGAGAAAAATTTCAGAATAGTGGCTGAAAAACTGCAAAATTTTTGAGGCATAAATTTACATGAGTAAGATATCCTGTATAGTCTAGGATAAACCCTAAAGGAAGGGTGTGTATGTGTGTCAAGATACATTATCACACTTATCAAAAGCCAGAGAAAGAATCTGAAACAAAAGAAAAGCAACTCAAATACTTCAAATTATTGGTTGACTTAATAAAATTTTAGACATCTAAAGGAAAGAGGAAGATAGATTCATAGGAACTGAGAGGAGGGAAATGAAGGGGGAAGAGTGGAGAAGGGTGGAGAGAGAGAACATAACAACACTGAGGTTTTGTGTCCAGGGGATTTTCTGCAAAAATGGACATAACGTTAAAACATTCTCAAAAGCTATGAGAACTCATTACTACTAGATCGATTTTTTTTAATCCAGATGTAGTTGGCTCATCTCTTTAATCTCAGCACTAGGGAGGCAGAAGCAGGAGGATCTCTGAGTTTAAGGCCAGCCAGGGCTACTTAGTGAGACCCAGTTTCAAAATAAATAATTAATAAATAAATAAATATATAAATAAAATAAATACAAGGTTACCATGAACGGTAATAATTCGAACTCATGTTGTAAAGATTGTGAGCTAAACTTAATACATTGAAAAATAAAACACGGTATTACTTTTAGTTTGTAGTTCCAATTATGTGTAGATTTTAGAAATAAAAGTCCATGTTATATGTACATCTTATAAAGATGTGATTCATGATACTGGGAAATAAGGCAGAACTCTATGCATCCTTTTGCAGTGAATTTGTCATCAGTTCGAATTTAAATTTAAATATGAGAACCAGTAATTAAACCTGAAAGGGATTACAAGTCTTTTATAGTTTGGATGCTTTTGAATCATAGTATCACATACATCATATAGAAGCCATATGAAAAATAATTTAAAGGGAAAGGATCAGTCTACTAATGTTCAGTGCTCCCAAGTACCAATTCTACTGTATTTTGTGCTCCATCTATTTCATTTATACTTTGTTAGTTAGGTTTGGTTATTGTATGCTCCTAGTCCTACAAGTTAACTGTTTTCATCTTTTTACAAGTCATTTTGAATACTGTAGGAAACATACCCTTCTATGTTATGCTTCTTGGAATATCAGGAAAAGATATAGGAAAGCGAGGATTGGAACTTGAATTACTAATTCCTAAATGCTTAAATTATACTAGATAATTTGTATTTCCATTTAACCCTTATGCAATCCCTCAATGAAAGATATTATTATGTTAGAAGAGTGTATGTGGGAGTCTTTGTAGGTTCCCACAAAGAGTACTGCCAGTATACACACAGAAGGAAACAAAGGAACCAAACTGACACTATCCATCCACCTCCCCGACTCCCATCCCCCAAACAAAAAACAGTTGAACACCAGTAGCTGTATTGGAAGGAATGGCAGGCCAAATAAATAAATAAATAAATAAATAAATAAATAAATAAATAAAAAGTTAAGAGACACAAAATCCAAACTATTTAAAGCAAATGTCATTTTGTCAGCCATCACTTTAAATGCATTACACTAAAGGGAAAGAAGTAAGCAGGAAAAAAAGCAGGTCAACAGTGAAAGAATAGGGGAAAGTCTCTATGCAAATTAACACAAAGTGAGTTAGGGCAGGGAGCAAGAGATCTGTATTCAGACTTGGGGGAATGGTGGTAGCCACTTTAAAAATGAGATGCTTAGAGGAGACAAGGAATAGTGTATGGGGATTAAGAGAGTCAATTGACTAAGGCAACAGAACAGTATTTCCAGTGCTGTAAATTTCAAATCTCCAAAATATATTAAGTAACCATTAACAAAACTGAAAGGTGAAAAGGACAGTTCCACATTAATATACATAATATCTTACTTTCAGTAATGAGTAGAAAACTGACCAATACAAAATAAAAGACTTCAATATTATAGATTAAGTCAGACCTAAAAAATCAAGACTACTCCTCTGCCCAAAGGTTGTAGTATTGTTCCACCTAAAATTTTTCTAAGAAAATCTATATATTAAGCCACAAACCCAGTCTTAATTTTTCATGCCAATCTGATGTCATATGCCTTGAGGTACACACTCAGAAAGCCAAGGTAAACTTGAGCTACATATCACCACCCTGTTCCCCAAAACTGAAGCTAAATATAAAACACAGCAGAAGAAAAAGAGCAAGAACAACAATAAAATTTTAAATCACCATGCACACATATTTCTTGATTATAAATGAAATGGGCCAACAAATCAGTAACAGCAAATTGAGAAATTCTGAAATATGTAGGAATTATGCATATAGTAATTCTACAGCCAAGGAGACTGAGTTAAATAATGGACAAAGTAAAAGACATTGACATCTAAACTTTAGATTTTAAGGCATACATACACATAGTGACATGTACCTGAAAAGGCACTCAAAATTAGTTTTCCTTAGTCAAGTGAAAACTACATCAAAATCAGATGCTTCATTATACCCATTAGGTGGCTTTCCTCTTCAAAGAGGAGAATTAAATATTGGTAAGTATATGAGAAATTAGAATTTTTCTCATATTAATAGGAATGGAAAATTATGCTGACATGGTAGAAAGAAATTTGTGGTTCCTCAGTAAACTAAAGAGAATTATTATATGACTTGATTTGACCTATAAGTATATCACCAAATGAACTGAAGTGTTCAAACAAAAGCTTTCTACCAATTTTCAAAGCAACACTCTTCAAAATAGTCAATATGTAGAGAAAAATCCAAATATTCACCAACTAATATATAAAACAGTATATTCATAAAGTGATATTCAGTCATTACAGTGAATGAAATGGATAAATAAGCATGAATTTTACTAAGGACCCCAATACTAATCAGGACTGTCAATGAAACCCTTTACTGAGCAAATGTTGTGGCCTCTGTAAGAAGATGCCTGTGATTTGAGCTTCATCCCTTTCCCCAGTATTAGGCAGGAACTTGTAGCACCAGCCAGATGGAACTGATCTGCATTTGCTTATATTATACACTACTGGTTGACTACAGGGGGCTTGGTGGTGATGAAATTTAGGCATGTTTTAGTGCTGTTTTAGCCTTAGTAGCTTGTAGGTTTTGAGTATTTCTTAACTCTGTGCCTGAATCAATAGACACAAGATTCCAGTCCAGCATTGTGCCAGCCAGTGCAGTGTTGTAATGAGATAACACCCTAGTGTTTCAAAGGCTGTATTGGTATGGGCCCAGAGGCCACAGCGGTCTGTCCAGGATCTTTGAACAGGCATTCTCAAAGGAAGACTGCAAAATATGGAATGAGTACCTACTTCAGTATACAAATGCCATGCCCTTATTACAAGAGTCAAAGGTGATGTCAGAATTATTGTAAGATGGGAAAAAACAAGCAACAAATGGCTAATCACAAAGAAATGGAAATGTGTGAACTACCAGAAATATTATGTGAAAGTCATGAAAATAACTTTATTAGAGCATCAAACTACAAATTGAACTGACATTTAAGCTTAATGATTGAGAATTCAAAATAAGAAACAATAAATGACTGGAAGGATAAAAGAATGAAATAATAGTAAACAAAATTAGCTGGAAAATAACATCAGTGAAATGACAAGTTGTTAAAAAATGAAAAATTTTACATAGATGATTAATTAATATATCTGAAAATATATAGAGATAAGAGAAAAATGAACAAGGAGTTAAAAAAAGCTTGTGGGATTGGTGGGACACTATTAAAAGGCAAATGTTTGAGCTTGAAGTTGGCACGTTTGTTTTGCTTACCCAATTCCCTGGATTAAATTAAAAGCACAAATGTTATAACAGGAAAAATGTTTGAATGATTTGTGTTCAAGATAAAATAAAGAGAAAGGTTTAGAGACAAGTATTCATGACAGGAAACTTCCCATACTAGCAGAAAGATATCCAGGTATAGGAAGTTCACCAGTCTCAGGGTTTAATCTATATATTATGCCCCAGGACATAATTGTAATCTTGTGTTTTACACACACACACACACACACACACACACACACACACACACGTACGCACGTGCATCAAGAAAAAAATGAGAATGTTGAAAACAAATAGTATATAAGAGTCTTCTCATATATGTAGCATATATCCCAACAGAAACATCATGCCTTGAGAAAGTAGGATGGTATTTAAAATGCTAAAGAATATTTTAGCTTTTCAATTCTGTGATGAATACTTGAACAGTTTAAAAAGAGGAAACATCTGTTTTGACTCATGGTATTTGGGGTTTCAGTCAATGATCTACTGCCTCCATTGTTTTGGAAAGGCCAAAGACAAGGCTTAGACCTCCAGATCACAGCCCCAATGACATATTTGTTCCACCTAACATTCCTCAATAATACCTTCAGATTAACCCACTAATTAGGTTTAATACACTAATTAGATCAGTTTCTATGTTCCAGTCACCCCTAAATGAATCCATATTCAAGCTATTAAATGGGGGGGGGGGGGTGCTGCCAACCAAGAATTACTATGCCTAATATAACTGTCCTTCAGAAACAAAAGAGAGACTTTGCAGACTACCCTTTCTCTTCCTAAAAGTTAAGATGATAAAAAGTGACCTGCCTTATGCAAAATGTTAAATGAACAGAGCCTTTGGCTCAGTAGTTGATTGCTTGCCTAGGGTGAATAAAGCCTTTGGTTTGATTCCCAGCCCTACAAAAATGGTTAATGAAAGTGGAAAGGGAATCAGATACAAAGTTCAAAGGTAGACTGCTTGCCTAGAATGTGTAATGCCTTATATTTTATCTCAACACTGCAAAAATTAAAAATAATAAATCTGAAAGTAAAAGACTTCCTGATATCTTCTGTATAAATATCACAATAAAAAGTATTATTCTTTGTTTATGGTCTCATTATGAATTCATGGTTCATCTAGAATTCACCATGTAGAGCAGGCTGACCTCCAACTCACAGAGACCCACCAACCTTTGGATTCCAAGTGTTGGAATTAAAGGTATGTGCCACCAGAGCTGGCCAAAGCTATTCTAATAAATGCAATAACATTAAGAGATAGGCATTTTGTAATCCTTTAAAATGTGACCTGAAAATTCAAAAGGAAGGAAAGGGGAAATTTGAAAGAGAGAGGAAGAGAGAGAAAGAAAGGGAGAGGTTAAATTATTTGTTAATACTTTAAGAGTATTTGTTTAATTATCCTTTTGTAAGCCTTATTATAACCAAAATTCAAAACCTACAATACAGATTTTAGAGAAATTTCCTTAACTACAACGAAGACAGTGAAAATTGAAAAATGACTTACAGAACCACCAGAAAAAACCCAAAATGATAACATTCCTTATCAGAACTTACCTTGAATGTAAATAGATTGAATTATTCAACCAAATGGAATAAAGTGGTGGAATTATTTTTTTAAATGAAATAAAATACAACAACAAAACTGCTATCTTAAGGAGATACGCTTCTCCTGATTGTCACATGTTAGACTCAAAGTGGAGATAGAACAGTTGTAAATATATATCCACCCAATATTGGTGTGTGTAAATGTAGAAAGCAATTGTTGAACAATGAGAAGTGAGAGATAGCCTTCATACAGCTTTAGACCTTTATATACTACTTTAGAGTGCACAGATTATCAAGACAAAAAGCCATCAAGGTAACACTGAGCTTAAACTATCCAAATATGTTCAACCTATGGCCTGTAGGCTGAATGTGGCCCCATGAAACAAGGATAGCTAGGAATACAATGTAACACAAAATTGTAAATTTACTTAAGGTGAGATTTGAGGGTGTGTGTGTATGTGTGTGTGTGTGTGTGTGTGTGTGTGTGTGTGTGTGGGTGTGGGTGTGGGTGTGGGTGTGTGTGTTACAGTCCTTAACTGAGAACTGAAACGTGGTGATACTTTACTTGTGCTTTAATAAATAAAGTTTGCCTGGAGATCAGAGGAAATAGCAAGCCATTTAAAGTAAACGAAGTCAGGCAGCAGTAGCACATGCCCTTAATCCTATCACTTAGCAGGCAGGATCTCTGTGTGTTGAAAGTCACACTGGGGAACAGAGCCAAGCGTGGTGACACATGCCTTTAATCCTAGTACCAACCATAAATTCTGGAGGCCTGTACAGAGAGGAAGTAACAGAGCTGGCCAGGAAGAGGAAGTGATATAGCTAGACAGAGAGCAAATCAGATGACAGAACAGCAAGGCATATAAGCCTAGGTAGACAGGAAGTTGCTTTCTTTGGAAGCTATGGAGTTGGTGAGGTGAGGTTAGCTCATGGTTTGTCCTATTCTTCTGCTCTTTTTCTTGGGCTTTAACCCAAATTTCTGGCTCTGTGTTTTTTATTTATTAAGACCATTTAGAAATTCCTCTACAGATAACTTTGTAGATAACAAAGTTGTGCTACATTGTCTAAAGTTCGGAACCCCTTACCAATACATCAAATGTTCCCAAGACAGACAGGTTGAGTGAAAGTCAAATCTAATTATGATTCATAAAGAAAACTACAATTTCTCTATTTGTATTATATAGCTATTCAATTTTCATAAGAGAAACCATTTGTTCTACCTTCTGTCTAAGTAAATAGGCATCCATAAACATATTCTTGATGAGCAATAAATAGTCATTCTACTAGTGTTGTAAGTTTATTTGTATCTAGATAAAACCAGACTAGCAAAGAGTTCTGCATTTGCTACTTTATGTAAGATTTATGTTTTCTGTACTCAAGTCATGTCACTGATCTGCACTGAGAAACAAAAGAATAAATAGACAGTCCTCTCTGCTCTTTAGTGGTGTGTAAATAAAGCTTTAGGAAGTAAGCTAGTTGAACAAAAATGAATTCATTATAATGAAGTAACTGGAAGATAAATAGCAAGATACAAGAATATTCCCTGCTCTGATTGTAAGATATATATGTAATTCCTAGTCAAACTTCAGGTTGTTTGTTTTGTTTTTAGATTTTTTGGGATTCTTCATTGATAATCATGTCATCTGTGAATAAATGTTTTTCCTCCTTTTCAAATCTGCAAGACCGTTATTTTTTCATCCTTTACTATAGTAGCTAGTACTTCCTCTATAGTGTGGCACATTCTGCTTAAGAATATCTATCTGGGAATTATTTTTCCCTGTTAGGTAATGTTAAATGTATTTCTAGTACATGCAAAATGACTTTGTTACTTTCCACTCAATGTTTATATTTCATAAGAAATGACAACATGGAATAGGAAAAATGTACTGGTAATAATAGTGTATCAATTCCCTTGCCAGGGTTGTGTCAACTGAACTTCTATCACCTTCCAGTGGTGCCATGAGGAGAACTGGATTATCTACTAGAGTTATATCAATGGAGTTTAGGGGAACATTGAGATCTCTTCACCTACCCCCAACACAAAGGCAGTAAGAATTAGTGTTAGACAAGGCTAGTCATCACTGTTCAACCCTATGTGAAGCACACCCTATTGTCAGTGGTCCCAGTAGAGATTTGAACACCTAATATAAATGAAAATAAGCAAAACTCAGATTCTTCAACCCAACATCAGTAGGTCACAATGAAAAACCAAAACCACGTCCTCAATAGGAGGCAATAGTAGCTTAAGTTATTGCATTTTGTTGGGAAAGTATAAGTGGGACTAAGAAGCTGAAATTGCATTCTAACCATACAAGTAAACCAGTCAGACTCCCTTTTTTGCTGGGTAGTGGTGAACCTGGTGAAGTAGGAAGCTGAATTTGCAATCACTATGACCTTGAGCTATAGCTACATAGGAGGACTGATTAAAGATTCTATTAGACTGAGAGTCACATAATTACTAAATGTCCTAGTCATGACTGAAAAACCTTTCATTATAGCAAATTGTAAGAAACTTACACCTTCAATAATGGAAGATATTCTGCAAGTGCCAACATCAACACGAATCAGATGTTGGAAATATCTATAGGATTTTAAGGTGTCACCATAAATATTCTACAAAGTACAATATCAATCAACTTGAAAATGAAGACAATTTTATTTTCAGGAAATAAAGTTGTAAAAAACAACTAAATGCAAATTACAGAAATAAAATTATGCAACTAAAAATTTGATGAATGTACTCAAATGAAATGCCAATGACAAATGAAAGAATTAGTGAAATTGAGCTGTGGCTGGGTTTTGTGCCAGCCCTCCCCACCCTGCACACAAGAATTGAGAATGTGTGAAAGGAATCTGTTGTTCAGGATCTGAACAACAGTACCCACAACACATAAGACATGTAATGCTTCTTTGAGACCACAATGCAATTAAACTTTAAATCAATAACATAACTGAAAAAGTGCTAAGTATTTACAGAGTTTTTAAAAAAGCTTTTAATTCTTTTAATAATTATATATGCACCAAGACCAGAAAATTGTGGTGTTCTAAGAGTCAAATGAACATTTAATTCTGAATTTTAAATGCTACATCCACTTAGTAAGAAAATTATCAGAAAACTACAGCAGTAACAATATTTGAAATAAACATGCCTCTAAATTGAGTGCTTCACAGGATTGATTTTATTTATTGTGTCAAAATATACCTGAGTGCTGCATAGGTTCTTTTGTATACTTCTAATCAGATAATCAATATTCATTAAGTTATCCCACACCAAATAATCAGTAGAGATAAAAAGATATAAAAGTAGCAGTAAAAAGCCTTTTCTCATTTTTATATATTCTCTCAAAGGTAACTAATATTATGATAATTTTCTACTCTGTCCTTCCTGAAAAATATTCAGAGAAAATAAAAACAAATTTTAAATGTAAATTAAACATATAATCACATCTAAAGTATAAGGACAGCATAGGGCTTTTATCAATCTGGCACTAGCTATGAAATCTGATTTGGAATTTGGTCTCATGTCCACTGAATTTTCAGATTTTAAAATATATTTTTTCGGTGCTGAGATTCAAAGCCTATGTCTCACATATGCTAGGCAATAATGTATGTGAGCTACATACCTTTTTCCACTGAGCTACAGTCCTAGTCCAAATTAAACTTACCTATAAATTATGTTAGATAAGTTTCAAGAAATTGAAAATTATTTTAAAGTAAATGACAATATAACTTACCAAACTTCAGAATGCATGAAAAAATCCTTAAAAATTTAGAGCAATGATGAAAAAGAAAATTCTAAAATTAATATTTTCTACCTCAGGCAACTAGAAAAACAATTCAATCTAAAGTAAAACAGGAAAAAGTAGTAATGTTAAACTAATGAAAAGTTTTTTACTATAATTAACAAAACCAAATGAATCAAGAAAACTAAAAGCTATGTTTTAGAAAAGATAAATAAAATTGGTAATGCTGTTCTAACTTTAAAAATGAGAGTATTCAAAGTATTATAAAAATGATCATTTATGTGTCCAATTTAATAACCTCACTGAAATTGACCAACTCCTTGGTCAATTGACCTGATAAAGCTCACACAAGAAATAGAAATCTAAGCAAATATGTACTTATGGAAGAAATTAAAATAAGGACCAGTAACATTCCAAGTAGAAAGCAAATGCTACATGTTCTCACTGTTAAACTCTATCACAAATGTAAGGAAGAAGTGTGTGTATATGTTAACTTGTGCTAAATGCTTTAATTGTGTTTCCATAATCATGTCAGTAGGTTTTAATTATAAAAATACAGTTAAGTAAAATATTGTAACTTTTCCTGAAAGGTTGAATTTTGTACTAACAGGTTTTCAAGCTAGTAAGTTGAAAATCATAATGATGTTAATTCTGATATGTTTAGCATCATAGATGCAGCCAGTGTATAATGTGTGGTGGAATGTCAGAGATCATACAATGTATAGTTAATAACTATAGAAATGTAGTAGATGGCTAGATAAATGTTTCTTTTTTGCTTTAATAGAATATATTTCTTGTACAGAGTGGTAGATTTCATGGCATTTTCATTAAAATACATCATCTACTCCAACCACATTTACCATATTCTCATTAATCTCTTCTATTGACCCCATCTTCCTGTTGCTAACCTTCTCCCCATTTCCCTGAATACTTCCCTCCCCTACTTCTCTGCCATTCATGTGTGTGTGTATATCTGTGTGCATGTGTGTGAAATCTAGGTTCTAAATATGAGAGAAATTCTGACGTTTTGTCTTTCTGAGTATGGCTATTTTCACTTAGTATAATTTAAGTGTGGTTCCATTGAAATATTTTCCTGTAAATGTGATCATTTCATTCTTTAGAGATAAATAAAAGCTCATTTTCTGTTAATGTGCTCATAGACATCAAAACTGATTTATACCACCTCCATTTTAAATTGTTTCATTGAAGCTGGGCATTGGTGGCGCACACCTTTAATGCCAGCACTCGGGAGGCAGAGCCAGTTGGATCTTTGTGAGTTTGAGGCCAACCTGGTCTACAGAGCGAGATCCAGGAAAGGCACAAGCTACACAGAGAAACCCTGTCTCAAAAAACCAAAAAAAAAAAAATGTTTCACTGAGGTGGATAAGGCCAAAGCACTGGGCCATGCCTTAAGCAAACAAAGAGATGTGACATGTGCAGAGAGCACTCTGGCCAGAGGAAATCTGACCCATAAGCCCCAAACCAAAAGATGATGACATGCAGCCTAGAGCCAACCAAGAAACACCATAGCAGCCAGAAGCAAAGCCTGACAAAAATCCACATATATAAACCTCAGCTCTTTGTTTAATAAAAGAGAGACGGCTTGCAAACCTACTGGAGTCTGTGTCATTAACTCTGCATCTACCCACCCCCTTCTCCTGTGATCAGAGACAGCGAGACCCCAGCTGCAGAGCCAGCAACAGTTTCACAGTGAACAAGGATGGTCTCATACCTCTATTCTGTACTGAATTATATTTCCAAGAGTGGTATTGCCACATCACCTGGTAGTTTGTCATTTTTCGTTTTCTTGAGGAACATCTATACAGACTTTCATAGTGGCTGGACTAATTTATATTATTACCAGTTTTGTATAACAGTCCCCCTCACACCCCTCCTCAGCATTTTCTGTTGTTGCTTTTCATGTGTGGGTGTGGGTGTGCATGCACATGTGTACAGGCATATGGAGGCCAGAAGTCAATCTTGGGTGTCTTTCTTCAGGTTCTGTTTACCTGTTGTTTGTTTTGTGGTTATTGTCGCTGTTTGCTTGCTTGTTTTTCTTTGCTTTGAGACAGGGTCTCTCACTGGCCTGGAACTGTAGCTTACACTACCTAGACAGTGAGTCCCTGGGATCCAACCTATCTCAGTCTCTTCAGCAGTGGCATTACAGCATGTGTTACCAGACCTGGCTTCTTTTTATTTAAGTTCTATAGCTGAAATTCAGGTCCTCATGCTTGGAAGACAGAAATTATACTAAAAGAACTATCTCCAGAAGGAGCCCTACCTGTTACCTTAATGATAACTTTTTCAGTGGAGACAAGATGGAATCCCAATCTTTTGATTTGCATTTCCTAAATGGCTAAAAATACTGATTGTTATTTCATGTATTTATTGGCCCTTTTTTGCTGTTTTACTCATTACTTATGGTTTTGATTTTTAATATTTACAGCATTTTATATATTCTTGATACTAGTTCCCTTCAAATGTATAAGTGGCAAAAATTTTCTCAAATTTTGTAGGCTGAACCTTGACTCTTTAAAAAAAGATTTATTTATTCATTTGTTTATTTTTATGTGTGTGAGCCTTCATGAGAGTATGTGCAGGGACCTGGGGGCAGCAGATTGCTTGCAACTGGAGTTAGAGGTAGTGTGGAGCCAAACCAAGCTATTCTGTGAGTACATAATGTGACAACTCACCCATCTTTACAGATTTGACTTTTGTATCTTTTGCTGTGCAGAAACTTCCTAATTTTATATAATCCTACTTGAAAATTCTTGCCATTATTTTCTGACTTACTTGAGTTCCTTTCAGAAGATTCTTGCCTGTGTCTATACCGTTGAGTGTTTTCCCTGTTAGCAGCTTCAATCCTTCAGGTCTTATGTTAATGTCTTTTCTTGTTTTGAGTGGGTTTCATGCAGTGTGAGACAGAGCTATCAAGTTTCAATCTTGAACATGTGCATATTAAGTTTCCCAGAACCATTTGTCAAAGATGCTGTTTTTAATCCCTGCACATGATTTTTGAAATTATGTCAAAACCAGTGGCCATAACTGCATGGGCTTATTTTTTTTGTTTGTTTGTTTTTGGTTTTGATTTGTATATTTAGTTTACATAGTGTATTGGTCTATATGTCAGTTTTTGTGCAAGTATCATGTTGTTTCAACATAATGGCTCTATAGTATGTTTGAAATTCCATACTATGGCAATTCCAATATTGCTCTTTCTGCTTAGGAGTGCTTAGTGCATAGTCCTTTGTACTTCTGTATGACTTTTAAGATTTAAAATAATATTTTGAAGAATATTTGGTATTTTGATAGGGATTACATTGAAAATGTAAATAACTTTCTGTTACATGGCTGTTTTTACAACATTAACTCTACCAATCCATCCTGTAGTGTCTTTGATTTCTTTTGGAAGTATTTTAAGATTTTCATTGTTGAGCTTACTTACCTTCTTGGTAAGACTTCTTTCTAGCTGTTTTTTTTTTGAGATCCTTGTAAATGGGACCAGTCTCCTATGCAGAATGTTAGTTATCATATAGAAAAGCTGTTGACCTTTGTATTTTGATTTTTATATCCTTCCATTTTGTTAGAAGTGTTTGTCAGATCAAAGTTTGTCTTCCTCTTTGGTGAGAGTTTTAGGGTCCATACTGTCTGCAGTAGGAATGAATTGAATTATTTCATTTAATCTATGCCTTATTTACATTGCTTTATTACCCATGCAAAGGATTCAAACATTATATTGAATAGTTATGGAGAGGCAAGATATACTTGTCTCCTAATACTAGAGGAAGTGCTTTCAGTTTTTATCCCATTGAGTATGATGTTGGCTATAACCTTATATTTGTAGCTTTTATTATAGTAAGCTATGGTCTTCCTATTCTTAGTTTCTTTGGAGTCTTTTTTCATGAAGGGATGATGGAGATTATTCAAAGGCTGTTTTGTATTTATTGCAATTATCATCTAATTTCTGTCCTTAAGCCTTTGTTACATATATGTACATGTTTGTTAACACATACTGATTTGTATATGTTGAACTATCTTTGTGTCTCTGCAATGAAGCCAGTTTGATTATGTTACATCATCTTTTAAAATGTACTTTTGGATTTGATTGATAATTTTATTAATTTTTTTGTATGCATGTTTATCATGGAAATTTGTGTATAGATTTCTTTATTGTCTCTTTATCCAGGCTTTGTATCAATGTAATACTGGCCTCATAAATTATGTTGCTCTTTTTTAACTTTCTATTTTAGGAAATAATTTGGGAAAGATTGATGATAATGCTTCATTAGTGATCTGATGGAGCTTATCAGCTAATCATTTCATCTCGTCCTGGGCTTATGATGTAGCTCATCTGAAATTTATCTGTTGTTTTTGTCTATCTATTGATGAGACTAGGGTATTAAAGTCACTATATTATTTATTTTATATAGGTTTATCCTCCCCTCAGTGCCTCATACTGTTTGTGGTATGAAATTACATTGCTAACATTTGGTGCATATATATTTATATAGTCTTGAGGAATTATCTCTTTATTAAAATACATTGACTTTATCTCTTATCTTTGGCTTGAAGTCTATCTTATCAGATATAAATATGGCTACTGCTATATTTTTCATTGTGAGCCTAGCCTTTAATGGCTGAGCCATCTGAGAACATAAATGAATGGGATGGTTGAGCTGGAAAAGGGATGGAGTGGGAGAGCAATGAAAGAGATACCATGATAGAGGGAGACATCATGGGGACAGGGAGAAACTGGGTACTAGGGAAATTCCCAGGAATCCATAAGGATGACCCCAGTTTAGACTACTAGCAATAGTGAAGGGGGTTACCTGAACTGGCTTATCCCAGTAATCACATCGGTGAGTACTCTGTCATCATAGAGCCTTTCTCCAGTAACTGATGGAAGCAGATGCAGAGATCCACAGCCAAATAACAGGTCCAGCTCCAGGAGTCCAGTCAAAGAGAGAGAAGAGGGATTCTACAAGTAAGGGGCATCAAAATCATGATGGGGAAATGTACAGAGACAACCAAACCAAACTAGTGGGAACTCATGAAATTTAGACCAACACCTGTGGAGCCTCCATGGACTGGGCTAGGTCCTCTGCATAAGAGAAACAGTTGTGTAGCTTGATCTGCTTAAGAGGCCCCCTGGCAGTAGGGTCAAGATACATCCCTGGTGCATGAGATGGCTTTTTGGAGCCCACTACCTATGGTGGGACACAAAGCCTTGAGGCAGGGCGAGGGGCTTGGACCAGCCTCTACTGAATGTACCAGGCTCTGCTGACACCCCATGGGAGGCCTTACTTTCTTGGAGGAGGGAATGGGGGTGGGTTGTGTGGGGGAGGTTGGAGGGGCAGGAGGAGGGAAGAGGGGGAATTGTGATTGGTATGTAAAATAGAAAATTAAGAATAAGTTAAAAATAAGTAAGTAAATAAATAAATATTAAATAAATAAAAATAAATGGCTACTGTAAGAAAGAAGACCAACTTTCCACAGTCTCTTTCAGAAGATAGAATATATTATCACACTCTTTCCTTGTCTGTAAGTTTTTTTCTCAGAAATATTTTGATTGTAAACAATCCCTTATATGTAATGGGTCTATTTTCACTCCATTCTTTCAAATTTATTCCTTTAACATACAGAGTTTTCAGTAGAATTTACTTAAGTTATATGCAAATAATTGTAGCATAGAATATATATATATATATATATATATATATATATATATATATATATAATGACTCTTAACGATTGGTGCTTGCAAAGTGATTAGATAGACATTTATTTTTTATTATAATGTGTCTTTGTGAAGTTTTAATATGTTTGGGGGTATTTGAATTGTATTATTTTGATGTCCATATTGTGCCACAGATTTGGGGAGGATTTTGTTTTGTTTGTTTTTTTGGTTTTTTGAGACAGGGTTTCTCCATGTAGTTTTGGTGCCTGTTTTTGATCTCACTCTGTAGATCAGGCTGGCCTCAAACCCACAGAGATCAGCCTGACTCTGCTTCCTGAGTGCTGGGATTAAAGGCATGCACCACCGCTGCCGAGCCAGATTTGGGAAGTTTTAAGCCATTATGTCTTTAAGCTTTCTGTCTCTTTGTTTCTTCTTCTGTAACTACTATAATCCTTATATTATTTTTTTTTGATGATGCCATGTTAATTCTATAAGCTTTTTGTTTATAATTTTCCTCACCAGTGGATAATTTCAAGTTACCTATTTTTTCCTTTATTTTTATTTTTTGTGAATGGGGGTTTTGTCTTCATTCATGTCTCTACCATACATTAATGGGAGTCCAAGAAGGAAAATAAAGAAAATAGAGTCTGTCTTGGACTCCCATACCACTTGTATGCAGTACCTACAGAGACCAGAAGAGAGCATCATATCTTATAGATAGCTGTAAGACACCATGTGGATGCTGAGGATTGAATTTATCTTTCGCCAGAGTCAGACCAGTAGGTGATGTGTGCTCCCAAGCTGTTTCCAGAGGTTCTCAGGTTCTTTCTGCTGTTGAAATTTTGTGGGGTGTTGATAGAAAACTCCTGTATGCTATCATTCTTCAGTTGCTCCATAATTATATATGAGACTATCAACATGGAATTTTCATGAAATGATATTATAAACTAACTAAAAGACAAATGTCACATGCAAAATACATTTATGTTTTATTTTAAATTTACAGATATTATGTTTTTTGCTTTTTTATTTCCTGATGTGGATTTATTTAACTGTCTAGTGTCTTCCTATTTTATATGTTAGAAGTTTCCTTAGCACTTTTTCAGGGCTCTATGTATAAAAAAGGGTTTCTCCAAATTTGTGTTTTCTTAGAAATGTATTCATTTCTCAATTTAAGGAGTGTATTTTGGTAGATATTAAATTATTGAATATTTTATTTCATTACTTTTAATATGTATATATACTGTATATTTTGTATATTATATATAAAATACTTGCTGTTTTACACAGTTTATGATAAGAATCATGTTTTCAATATTACTCTTACAGTCTTCAGCATTCTGTTTTTATTAGTTATTCGAAATTCATAATGATGCTTTTCTCTTTGGAATTAGATTTTTGTCTTCAAATCTATCTTACTTGGAGCTTCTTGATATCATTATTGGGTACATTAATGTTTTCCTTCGTATTTGGGAAGCTTTGAGCTATCATTCTTCAATTTTTCCCCTTTCTTTATTTTCCTTCTTGGACTCCCATTAATGTGTACATTCGTATAAGTGTGGTTTTCTATGGTTCTCTTCTGTTCAATTCATTTTTCTCCATTATTTGCTTCCCCCCTTGATACCTGGACTAGATAATCTTAATTAGAACATCTTCAAGTTAGTGGATTTCTTGTCTGCTAAAAATCCATTCTTGAGGGTCCTTTATGTCATATATATTTTAATTTTTTTCAATTGGATGGAAGCATTACCCACTTATTTTATTTCTAAATTGAGGAATTTTTATGTAGTTCTTTTTTAGTATCCATGTCTTAATAACAGTCTATATTTGTTGAAGCATCAGCTTCATACTTTACTAAAATCTTTACTGGTGTTTTTCTTTAGTTCTTTGGATATATTTTTAAAAGTTGACTTAATGTCTAGTAAGTCCAGTACCTTTCTTTCCTTTGGAATACTTTCTGTTGATTTCTTTTTCTGTGCATGTGCAGTAATTTACTATTTCTTTGTATATTTTTTTATTTTCTTGGAAACTGAACATTACATATGCAAATAGGTTTTCTCCATTCATATAGTTTGTTTTTGTTGCTAATCTGTTCTTTTTCATGATTTTCCTGTATAAAATTTGTATATTGTAATGTGTGGATAATGAGTTATCTTTGCAGCTTTGAGCACATATAATGATTAGGTAAAATTTTCCCTAAATAACCAATATGTCACTCACTCTTTACTAAGGGACTTTCTCTATGTGTATTTTGTTTCACATGTGGTATTCAGGTAGCTCAAAATTGTTTCTTAGCCTTAACCTACTGCTTGCACAGGAGCTTGTGATAATTAAGAAGTAAGCATCTAGGAACTTCAAGTATTTCCTATGCTACCATACATTCTGCACATTCATGTGGACTTCATATAAAAAGCAGTGTGTTATTGTTTTCCAAAGAACTCTTTAAATATACCACAAAATGTATCTTTATCATCCATTGTTTTTACATTTTCATTATTTTGTTGTGTTTTTATTCCAGTTACCGTTAGTTATTTAACCTTATATGATAGTCAATAATTGTTATTAATTCTTTATGCTTAACACTGGTATGGGAATCTACTCATAGAAAAGTCTCTGCATCAGCCCAAATAACTAAAAATTTCATGCGCTATTGTAGCATGAATCTTAAAAGGTCTTATTAATGAAAACAAACCTGGGATCAATGCTGGAAGACCAGAGAAGCAGAACAAGCCACAGCTTCCTCACCTCACCAATTCCTCAGCTGATCCTGTTTCCTCAGACTGGAAGCCTCTTCAGTCCTCATCCAGAATGAATCTCAGCTGAACTGTTGCTCAAAAGCCTAAAAGCTTAACCAGGCTATAATTCCCTGTCCTCAAGCCTGAAATACCTTTCTGCCTCCTGCCATTACTTCCTGGGATTAAAGGCGTGAGTCACCATGCTTGGCTATTTCCAACATGGCCTTGAACTCACAGAGATCCAGGCAGATCTCTGCTTCTGGAATGTTAGGATTAACGGCGCGTGCTACCACTGCCTAACCTCTGTGTTTAATATTGTGGCTGTTCTGTTCTCTGACCCCAGATAAGTTTATTGGAGTGCACAATATTTCAGGGAAAACAATACCACCGCAAGCTATATTTTTTCTAGAGAACTTATTAGCAGATCCAAATAGTTATTCTGTTTTTCTTACTGAGAATCAGAAGGTTTTCTTGCATAAATATTCTTTGGAAATGTGTAAGTCTTTGGTTACTTTCCAAAAATATAAATATTAATTTTGACTTTTGTTTGAAACACTATCACTTTGTTGTCAAGCTGGTCTTCAAACCAACATTTTCCTGCTTTGTAGCTTCCTGAATGCTAAGATCACATGTATGTGCCTATGCCTGGCTAATTTTGAGTATTTATGTAAACACAGATTTTATAGATAAGTACATTTTAAATGTTTTCACCTTGAATTTCTAGTGATTTGAAAATACAGATTTATTTTTAAATGTTCAACCAAACTTGATTCTAGGCTTAATTTGATTTAATCATGAAACATGGCTATAAATTGTTAGATTTTATTTCTAAAAATTTGAACACAGATATACATGCTCATAAAAAATATTTTTGTATAGCCTCATTTTAAATGTAGGATTTTTTTCTATGAAGATAGTGCTTTTCATATATGTTGAATTTGGAATTATTCCCTTCTTCTATATCTTCTGGAAGATCATATGGAATTCAGGTTTTAAAGTTCAGTGTAATCTATATTTCCTTGCAAGAATATTTTTAATAAAAATTAATTTTTTTGATAAAACACTATTTTGGTTATCTATTTACTGACTTAATTTTTATATTTGCATCTTTCAAGTGAAAATTTTTACTCCATCTAAGTTGCTGGTTTACGGGCTCTTTCCAAATCCTCTCCCCATCCCTACATACCCAACTTTGTTTTTTCTTAAAAAAAAAAAAAACCTAAAAATCTAATACAACAATAAACTTCCCCAAATGAAAAAAAACAAAATTTGATAATACCTCAAAAGAAAAAAACACCGTGACCAAATAAAAACACACAAACTATAACAAAAACAAACAAACAAAAAACCAAACCATGGAGCCTATTATATTTTGACTAGCTACTCCTGAACAAAAGATCTGCCCTTGAGTGGTTTATATACCCAATGTCCCTTCATTGGAGAAAGCTGATTTTCCCACTCTCAGAAGGTATAAATGACAGTCCAGTTATTAACCTTTACCCCAGGGACTAGGTTTTCATTAATTCTTTCTGCATGCTTTAATGGGTTACTTTTAATTTAATTTAA